CCACTGGCAGCAGGAGCTCTCCCTGCTTCTGAGGATGGGGACATCAGTGATACACCCTGAATGGCAAGGAACCACTCCTCTAGGGACTTTCCAAACAGGAATTTGTCACCTCTAATGAGGGAACCCCACAGCAGGAACCAGGACAGGGCACAGCATTCCTGTATCTCACTGCACCATCATGGTCAGCAGGTGCTTGTAACTCCTCCCCTCAACTACTGGCCACCACCTGCAGTAAGTGCTGGCTCTGGAACAGGGCTCGAGCATGAGCAGGGAATGCAGGGCTCTGGGGCAGGAGCCTGCAGGGGGTAGCAGACTGCTGCAGTTCACAGCATGAGGGGGAGAAGACAGATACACCTCCTGAATTTCTCCAACTCCTCTCGCACAAACTGAGGTCTCATGAGCCATCCTAAGACCTGTCCTCAATAATTCCTTAGAAGCACATGGAAGACAGCTGGCAGCACCAACACACGTGCATATATAAGACAGGTAAGGTGAATGCTTTCAAAAGGAAAACAGAGGGTCTTGGGTGAAGCTGCAGCTGTAAAACACATGACTGAGCAGGGAAACTGAGGAAAGCCTACAAGTAAATGTGGCCCTGGGAGCCCCAGGACTACTGACATACAATAGCAGCCTCAGGAAGCGTGTTCAGGACACACCAAGTCTGTGTAACTTGTTACCAGCCTACCATGCACACCAGCACTTGCTGGTGAAATAGAGCAGTGAATCACATAATAAAACACCTAAAAGTTCAAGTGATCCAGCATCATCAGCTGTATCTGACATCTTTCTGCAGCACATGGTATCCCTGTATATGTTCAGATCAGAAAAGTGCTTAATCTGGCAGATCCCCTTGAGAAAACTTGATTCTATCACTTGGTCAAATCTTGTAATTTGTAACAAATGTGCAGTAACTTGGTAACTTCACCAGTGGCCCACAGAACCCCACAAAGGGCCACTTCTCACTGCTCCAGCTGTGATAGAGTCCACAGCACTGCACAGATGTGAGAGACAGGATCAGCTTACACCTGATCAGGTACAGCCCTTTGTTGTAACCTTGACACAAGAGGTAACCCTGTCCAGCCAGCTTTACCACAGTAATAAAACTGAGGGTGGAACCAGCCTGAAAGGGTCATTAGCACAGGGGGAAGCAGACCACTGGCCAGATCACATCAAGCTGGTTGCAATCACCAGATTTTAAATATCCTGTGTGACAGCAATTCATTACAAAATTCATATGCAAATCAATACCATGAACTTTATACTGGGATTGCTTCAGTCTTTGCTCCACTGCCCCTGAGCTGCTACTGTGATCTGCCAGCAAGCATTATACTGGGCTTGGGAGAAGGGCTCAAAACACTTTCCTTAGGCTGGTTTAGTCCAAAAGGGCAAGAAAGAGCAAGCAGCTTGGTAATTTAGAGCTCGTTTTCTGTTTTGACAGAAGAAGCTGCTTCACAGTTATTTCAGATTTTAAAAAATAAGCAATCCCATCAGCACAGCCAAAAATGGCACCCTCAGAGATGCCTCCTGCATCCAACAGGACCTGTGATCACACATGTTTGCAGCAGCCAGGGAAGTGAACTTCCCACTGACACACTCAAATCCTGCAATTAGCTTTAAACTCACAGCAACTGCCTCAACTACTCCTTGCTAGTTATTTCACCAGACTGAGTCTTTGCAGGGACAGAAAGACAACACCAAGCTTAGCAAACCCAAAGAAAAGGAAGCTGAGCAACCTTCAAATGAAGCAGCAGACTGCAGATTAATCACATCCCTGCTCCAAAGACATGCTGGCATTGGCTGTGTAAGCCAGGAGAAAGAGCCAGAGGACAGTTCATCCAGAATGAGATGTTTGCTCAGGAATGCTCCAAGCCCACATGAAACAAGGCCATTTCAGGGACCTCTTCTCCAGATCTGCTCCAATCGTGGCACACACTGTCAGCCATGCAGTCTCCACTGTCTGTGACACACATCACACACACCACTGTAGATGTTTCCCCCAGAGACCCATCTGTGCCTGGAATCTGAGGCTTGCAAGAAAGGAGCAACATTGTTTACACTCAGAGACACAGCACCATGAGCAGAAGGCCTGTCATCCACAACAGGCTGGTTACACTAGCTCACAGCACAGGGAGAATGACTAATTTGAGCCCAGCATTTATTTTAACCATTGAGTGCTAGCCAGCCCAGCCCTCCAAAATCACAGGCTATCGCACACAACAGGGTGGTGCCATCCAAACAGGGCAAATTTCCCCCCAAAACTTACATGGAGGCTGTTCAGTGACCCATACTTAGTGCCAGGCCTGCCAGCTGCTCTCCTGTCCACTAGCACAGATAAAACAAAGAGGGCAAGATGGTTCTGCAAGGAACAAACACCAAAGCTTGAGCAGGAACACACAGCAGCTCCCGCTCAAAACTTCAAACAGCTGATGCCTGGTGCATTGGAAAAGCCTGGTTTCTTGGAAACCTCACAAGTGGGGAAGCTTGTGGAGCACTGGGCCAGACAACTCCAAGGCAAGCCAGCTCTAATCTCTGGTCCCAGCTGCGTACACAGAGAAACTGCAAAACGCAAATGCCAGAGGAAAAAAAGGAAAGCTCCAATTATTCTCAGACCACAAGAACAACGATGTCTAAAAACAAAGATGCCGTCGGGGCAGCAGAAAGGAAGATCTGTCCAAAACAGCTGACTGGAGAAATTGTGTTGTTTTAGGCAGCAGCCACTGAGGCAAGACAAAGAAGAAACCTGCTGTATGGCTGGTTCTGCCACAACAGCCTCAGGCCTGATTTACTGTTTCAAGTGTTTTTCAATCAAATCAGAAGTAAAAACTGTCAAATACAGAAGTTGTGCTTAAAACCCATTCTCTGTAAATTAGCTTTCCTTTAGAAAGCTTTACTTACAAAAACTAATACTGGAAGGAGCATGATTTGCTCCTCCTGGGATTATTATTCCTTAACTGTATTCACAGCAACAAGGCTGACACTAAATTATTATTTTTTTCTTCAGGGTGATGAGCTGATGAGGACAGTTTCCCTTTCAGATCCCTGCAGAAGGGTCAGTTGTATACAGTTTGTAGCATTCACACAATTCTGGGAAAGTGGTTTTTTTTCTCCTTTTTGAAAACCCCAAACAAATCCAGTTCTGTCTTTCCTCAGCTTGATTCAACTGTGATATTGCCAAAAGGACCTGAGAAGCATCATGTCAAAGCAAGAGTATTTTATTTCTGAGGCCAGCAAAGCACATGGGTTGGTTTCTCTGTGACAGAGACCTTGGCTAAGCATCTTTGGCCAGAAAGAAAAAATGTATTGCCCTAAGAGAGATGGGCATGCAGATACCCACAGTACACACCTGAACCTCTTTCAAAGTCTTCAAGTGTCATGAATTACAATTTTGCAGATCTTTTCAAAACAAAGAGAAGATAAAAACATTTCTTCATGGTGCAGAAGGAATATCCATAGGAAATCACACATTCTACCTGGAGCCAGCATGCTATGCAAAGTTACAAAACATTACTTGTCCACCAAATAAGACTGAGAGCTGTCACACTTGCCTGCAGGTTTAGAACCTGACAACTCATGTTAGGCATAATCACAATGGTGCCACACAAGGAGTGCTTATGTTTGCTCATCAGTGCAAAACATGCCACTTCCCAGAGTTTTCTAGTCATTCTCAATTCTTGTTCTCACAGAATCCCAGAATGGGTAAGGGTGGAAGGGACCACAGTGGGTCATCTGGACCAACCTCTCTGCTCAAGCAGGGTCATCCCAGAGCACATGGCACAGGATTGTGTCCAGACAGTTCTTGTGTATCTTGTGAGGAGGCTCCACATCCTCTCTGGGCAATCTGTGCCAGTGCTCAGTCACCCACACAGTAAAGAAATTCTTCCTCATATTCAGGTGGAACTTCCTGTGCATCAGTTGCTGCCCATTGCCTCTTGTCCTATTGCTGGGCACCACTGAGCAGAGCCTGGCTCATCCTCTGACACCCCCCTACAGACAGACAGACATTGATGAGGTCCCCCCTCTGTTTTCTTTCCAAGGCTGGACAGGCCCAGCTCCTTCAGCCTTTCCTTGTGAGAGAGATGTTCCAGACCCTGCGCTGGACCCACTCCAGGAGCTCCGTGTCTGCCTTGTCCTGAGGAGGTCAGAACTGGAGCCCTCACTCCAGGTGAGGCAGAGGGGCAGGATCCCCTCCCTGAGCTGCTGGCAGTGCTCCTCCTAACACAGCCCAGGACAGCCCTGGCCTTGGCCCCCAGGGCACTGCTGGCTCAGGGACAGCTGCTCTCCCCCAGCTCCTTCTCCACAGAGCTGCTCCAGCAGGTCAGCCCCAGCCTTGCCGGTGCCTGGGGTTGTTCCTCCCCAGGTGCAGGAGCCCGCATTTGCCTTTGCTGAATTTCAGACAGTTCCTCTCTGTCCATCTCTTAACTGCCAAAATCCTTTGGAAGGGGTGTAACTTTTCCCCTTCAATCCTTTCCCTCCCAAAAGAGCTTTAATTTTTTCACCAACGTATGTAAGACTTGTTGCTATAAATTGTTTCCCTAAGAAGAACCATTATTTAGTGTGCTGTGATTATTCAGATTTTACACAGTACAAATACCTAGATCCATAGGAGAACACAGCAGTACAGAGCAAGGGGAGTTCATTTCCCACTCCTGGTGTGGAGAGAGCCCAGTGTGCAGAGTCATTTCTGATGGCTCTATGAGGAGGCAGCATGGGTAGCCTGGATGCAGGTTCTTCAGCAATTCCTACTGGGATCTATATGGATTGCACCAAGTTCCTCATCACAAACCCTACCTGAGTAATAATTCTCAGGGAGAGGAAAGCAGCACAAAGTGGAGAGCAAGAATCCTAAAACACACCAGGCTTAAATCAGTGGCTTAGGCAACTGGTTACTGGTAATGAAACAGCAGAGTTTTCACTATATAAAATTTATAAATTTATTTTTTTGTAAAAATCCAAAGAGCACGAAGACATCTCACTCAAAATACTGGTAAATCAAACCACACTTAGAAAAATGAAAGCTGATTTTATTATCTTATCCACAGCCAATCATTTGACATGAACATGCATACGTAATTTTGCTACGCACACACCACAGTTTAACGTTAGTTATTAAAGGTTAAACATACAACATACATCCTTACAAAAATGAGTCAAAATGCAAACGTAACTTTTAAACAAAACAGTTTTTACTCATTTAAAAAAACTTTTGTGTTGGGTACCATTTTGTACAAACACAGTTAATTTAAACAAATCTGCTTTTAGTTTCCTCATGGTTGCACATGAAAATAAGCTGCAATAGAAAATGAAGTCATCAAGGGATTTTTAAATAGCAGAAGTAGGCAGTCTTGCCATGCAGAAGAAGCAATATTAAATATTAGTTTTTCAAAAAAAGAAAAAACCCACAAGTTTAAAAATATTTAGTTCAAGTCACAAATCTTTCCCCAGTACAGAGAAATCCAAATGCAACGCATAATTAGCTGCCACTTAGGATGGCTATTCTGAAAAGTAGAAATACTTTCCAGAATTGATAATTTTCATTAATTTGGCACAGAAAAGAAGTCTGAGCTTACTTAGGTACAAGGAAGTGATTAAAAAAAAAAGAGTAAACAGGAAGAGAGAAAATAAAAAGCAAGAATGAACGAGATAGTAGTTGCAATCACTAAAAAAAAAAATCTGTGCATCTCAGTCATTGCAGAATACTGTCTACAGCAGGTGCGAATTCCAGGTAATTGTTATTGCAACATGGATTTAATTTGCTTGGAGGTAGTCTCATCATTCAAATGCTTTGTTGTGTACCTAAACACAGAAATAAAGTCAAGGTGAGCATAAATGCTATTGCACTTCAGCTTACAAATGTGTAATTTCTTTGTTTATGGCTCAACCTGACCATACCACAGCAAAACCCTCAGCCATGGATCATCACCCACTCCATGGTCACTGAGAACACAAGTCAGACATTCTGACCAGAAAATGATATTGCCAATCAGAACGAGAATCTAGCAGCCTTGCACCAAGGGGAGCTCTAAATAAGCCTCAGCAGGACATTGCCTTTCACAGCAAGCTCACAGTAGCACTGGTGACAGGTAATTATCTGTCAGACTAACTCTGGGGGCTCTGCCCACAGGAAACATCTTCAAATAAGACAGCTTGAGAAACTCTTCATCGAAACTTCCAGTGACCAAACCTTCCCAGAATCCCTCAATGACAATGGATTTAATCACTTTTCAGCCTAATTTCCTGCTTAGTTAAGTGACTGTGCTGCTAAAACAAAAGAGCACACACATGTACTTATTTCAGCTTTCAAATTCTCTAGGATAATAGCACACTTTTAAATCAATATAAAAAACCCTAGCTATATCTATTTTTAGAAGATATCCTCATTGCAGAATTTTTGTGTGATTAATTTTCCTGATCCTCCTTCCTAACTGTCTAAAAGCAAATAAAACTTACTTTGTAATTTAACATGTTAAATTAAAACTTTTATTGTTATCCACAACTGCAGTACTACTTAACTTGTTCACTTGATAAATATATAATGGCCTTTTACTTTAGAATTTAATAATACTGTATATTTCAGCACTTTTTGGTAATTCATACTTTCAACAAACAAGCAGCCTAAGATTTTCTGAAATCCTGAAAAGTTATTGCACTTGGTATTCTGCCCACGTGAAAAAGCTAAACATGATTACAATACTCAGATGAATTTGAAATTACAAAGAGCTGATCTCCCTCCAAAACCCTATACCACCTTCCATTTGTTTTTGAAACACATTATCTGTCCCTTGGGAAAACCCAAGGACTTCTCACTCCTCCATAATCAAAGACTTAGATTTGGACTTAATTTGTCACAATGACATCTTGAACCTGTTTTCATCACATGAGCACACAGCAGGTCACCCCTGCATCTCTTCCTAACAATTCCAAACGTGGCTTAGAAAAGGTTTGAATATCCTACCCAGAGAGTAATCAAATGTACAAAACCAGGACTGTTACAGCATCCATGCATGGAAAGGGAAAGCACAGCTTGAGAGCACGGACTGGATTTACACTGCTAACCACAAAGTTAATTGTGTAATTAACCAGAAGTTAATGTCACTGCTTAGTGCAGTGAGCACCTGAAGTGCACCGTCCATGTACTTTCATAGTGTCAGCAGTGATGGGAAAAATGGGCTACTAATAAAGACTGGTGATCATGGCAGCTGCAATCACAATAAACTAGTCAGAAATAAATGCTAATGCAGCATTTTCCCTCTGGAAGCCTGTGTTTTTACTGATCACCACCTCAAAGACTGATCATGTTATGAAGTTCAGAGATGAACATGATTTTAGCATGGCAATAATCACATGAAGTTTCAAATTAGGCATGGATTTTTAAAATTTTAGCTAACAATCTGAACCAAATTTGCAAAAGAACCCACCTACAATACCACATTATTTAACTCCTTATGTCATCATGACACAAAAAATAAAAAGAGGGCAAATGAAATTAAAGCAGCTTCACTACAAATACGGAAAACAAATCACAACTGCACAATTTCACAAGACAAACTAAAGCTTCCACATTCCAAGCAGGCACATGAGTAATAACACCCAGTCCCAGTTATTTGTTACCAATGTAATGATACTTTTCCAAGCAAGGACAGGAACAGACACTTCACCTGCCTATCACATTTTTGCACTTTTTGCCACTTCTCCCATGCTGGACACCTACACAATGAAGACATGACTGACTATACATACAGCTTTACAACCCAAATTAGCAGGTTTTAGATTTAATACACTGAATTATTAATTTTTCTTTACTTCTCCGATTAATGTGGCAAATTCTTGTCTCATCTATTCTACAGCAGAGATTTGTGCCTTTAGTTCTTTCTGAAAAGGAACAATTTCTAGTTACTTACCATGCCATACTGACTCATTCTTAACCTGCATGCATGGAAAAGGTTATCTTAGAATGAAAAACTGCAAATTCACAACCCTCTTAAAGCACAGAGGCTTCTTCATACATCCTTGTCTCAGGACACATTAGAAGAAAAGCCTGCAATAACTACATTCACCTTTCCCTGTAACAGTCACTGAATACTTTGTTGCAAAGAAAATGACCTGGACAATTCATTAAAACTCACATCAAAACATTAAAATACCCAAGAAACAAAAAGGAGTACCTGAGAGCATTTAGAAGGCCTTCTACACTGTTAGGAGGCTGGTCTTTAAGAACTTTGATGCATCCTTTCATCTAGGAGTTAAAAAAATTACAGTTTTTCCCATGCTAATACCTTTTGAGTTTACAGGAATGTTTTATAATCAGTATGTAAAAGATGAAAAATAAGTATTTAAAAATAGCAGCAGTGTAAAGACATTTTCTGGATATTAAAAAGGAATTAAGCTTTCAGTATTACATCTTCCTATCACAGACTGGCTTAGCTACTTAAAAAGCTGCATCAAGTGCATCCGCTGATGACAGCAAGCTGAGTGGTGTGGTTGACAGTCTGGAGGGGGAGAAGGCATCCAGAGGGATCTGGACAGGCTGGAGAGTGGGACCTGTGAACCTTGTGAAGTTCAACAACTCCAAGTTCCTGCCATTGGATCAGGGCATCCCAAGCACAAACACAGGCTGGGCAGGGAATGGACTGGGAGCAGGCCAGAGGAGAAGGGCCTGGGGGAGTTGTTGGATGAGAAGTTCAACATGACCCAGCAAAGTGGTCTGGCAGCCCAGAAAGCCAACACTGTCCTGGGCTGCAAAAGAAATGTGTCCAGCACAGCAAGGGAGGTGATTCTCCACCTCTGCTCTGCTCTTGTAAGACCCCACCTGGACCCAGCTCTGTGCCACCAACAGAAAAATGACATGGCTGTGCCAGAGTGAGTCCAGAGGAGAGTCATGAAGATGATCAGAGGGCTGGAGCACCTCTCCAGGGAGGAAAGGCTGAGAGAATTTGGGCTGCTCAGCATGGAGAATGATCTGGGGAGACCTCAGAGCACCTTCCAATACCTAAAGGGGCTACAGGAGAGCTGGAAAGAGACATTTTACAAGAGCAGGCAGTGATTAGATGAGGGAGAACAGCTTTGAAAGTTGTGGCTGCTCCATCCCTGGAAGTACTCAAGGCCAGGCTGGACAGGGCCCTGAGCAACCTGGTCCAGTGGAAGGTGTCCCTGCCCATGGATGGGGCCTGGAACTGGATGATCTTTAAGGTCCCTTCCAACCCAAACCCTTCTATGATAACTTTAGTGAATGCAACTTTCAAGCTCTGCTTTATCAGCCTTAAAGAAAAAATATGGAACTGTGAGCAGAAATACATGCTTATCATAAATCCATTAAGAATTATTTCATTCAGCCAGTGAAATAATGACCAACTGTAGTTAATGCAGTGGGATAATACTCCCTTTGAAATAGCCACAAAACCACAGAGTAACAGCATGTATTCCACAGGCTTACTATCAAAACCAGTAGAAAGTTAGAAACTCAAAGTGTGGTGGATGGTGAACTGAGCTATTCACCTGTCAGTGAGGAACAAGGCAGGGGCCATTGTTACTTTCTGATCTGCTTTTTCATCACAACTACTGCTTATAAGTATTCCTGGACACTACCAGAATTACATAAAAACAGATTTTTCATGACCCACTTACATGTCCAAAAGGCCTAGTTTGTATTTTTCACTACTGAAATATACATCTTTGCTCACAGCTATGTGTTTAGCACCAACCCAGTGTATACATCTGCTACTAGAATCTGCAATACAAAAAAGAAGCCTACAGACCATTTAAATACTCAGGAGATTATTTAGCAACAGTCAACTTACATCAATTTTTGAAGTTTTGGCAAAAGCGCCCACCGGATGCACGTGGTCATAGAGTATGATGACACCCACCATTACCCTCAGACAGAATGATACTGTTTCTTCATTTGTAAACCTGCTTCTATATTCACTGGAATGTAAAAACACAGCTTATTATCTATGAAACACAAGATAACAGTACATACTAGTAATACCCAAATTAAGATTAAAGAGAAAAATTCTATGATAAATTCTCAAGAGGAAAAAAAAAACCAAACCAACCCAACCAAATCTACAAACACCAAACTTGTGAGTTTTTGTTATTCCTTTCAAAAGACAAATGATTGTTTACAAAGTTACCTGAAGATTAATAAAAATTCGCAAACCTAAAACAGCAGGTTTCTAAAATTTTTAAATTAAAAAAAAAATTAATTTTGAAAAAGATTAAAACATACCAACTTGGTCTCCAGTGCTTCCTACACTTTTCTCTGCCACCTTCTAATAAACACCCAAACTTCTGACTTAGAAAAAAAAGGGCAGGCGACTGGACAACCTTTAACTGCTTTTTTAAATGGAACAGTTCATTCCTAAGAAGAGTAAGAGTATAAATGCTTGGAGCTCTTAATGCACTCCAAAACAAATGTCCTGCGGTATTTGGACAGAAACTTATTTAAAAAGACATGGCTCATGCCCCAGTAATTTTACCAATAGAAAACTATTTAGAACACAGAAGAAACAGATTAAAAAAAAATAACCAAAGGTTAGTGTGACTTTGGTCATACTCTCAGTGCCTCTCAAATAAACAGAAGACAACTGACTGCCTTCATGCCTAGAAGTTGTCTCTTAATTCCCCTGAGAGCAGCACTGTCATTTTCTAGAGCAATCAGCCAGGCCAGTCAGCAAGGGCATTGCCCACAGCCCCTCTTTCAGGAGACCCTAGGCAATCATGCTCAAATAGCCTATTTCTCTGAATAATACATGAGAAAACCACTTATAGAGCGTGCCAAGAGGTTGTCTAGCTTCCATAGTCATTCTATTTTTAAATATTAATATGTTCAGAAAAGTAGACCGCACGATTTCCGTGGCTGGCAAAATGAAACAAGGTGGTTTCATGTCAGTGTAAAGAACTAGGCTGGTACAAAGGAAACATCACAGCTCCTAATCACTCCAATTATATTTCTTTCATGCATCACACATCAGGTCTGAGACACAGAGGTGACTCACACCCAACCCAAGCAGTGTTGGTACTCACGGGGTTTCCAGCATGACCCTGCACACGCTGGCCATGGTGCTTAAGCAATCTGTTGTGTTCTCTATCGGTAAATTTTTATTCTGCAAAAGAAGGTGAACAGTTTCCACAATTCAATCACTGTGAAATATTATACTACAAAGCCTAAGTCATATCAGTTATCTGTTGGCATAGTAATGTGGAGCAATTAAAAAAATCAACACAACTATGGTAAGTCAGGTAGTCTTGCACTGTTTTTTTAAAATATTATCATATAGATTAGCACTTTACAGAGCAAAGGCTACCACATGGATTTTGCCTGCTTGCTTGTAGCCAAGCAACTACACCCTTGATATGATTGACTTTTGGAAAGTTTTGAAGGAATCATCATCTAACCCGCTCCTCCAAAGACAAAAATTTCTATAGCCAAATATATCCATCTGCTGTAATAGCAAATCTTAATTGTGGCAGACAACCATCACAAATAAATGTAAAATAAGAGGACAGTTTTCTTAAGGCATTTCAAGCACAAAGCAGAACTCAGGAGAAAAAAGAATATTAAAAGACAGATGTAACTTTGCATGAATCATGTAATGTAAAATTATTTTCTACTAAGAAACAGTGAGCATTCTTTGCATGTAAGCCAAAAATCATCACAGTTATCAGAAGGCAAGCACAGTACTTGCAGTGATTGGATTTTACAACCAGTATTTACTTAGGTAGTCAAGGATAAATAGGGATGTGTCAACATGCTGAAATACTTTTCCAGTTCAGGTTCCTTCCCCCTTTTGCAATAAAATGTAGTAGACTTGACTTTACACAGGAGAGTAGAAGGAGAAGAGGAAGCTACATTTCAATTCCATTCTTTATTTCAAGCAGAGAGAATCAAGCTGTTTCCCTTTCAATTTTCTGAAATTTCTGCTCTAAAACACCACCACAGTGCAGGCAAAACACCTGTCCCAGCTCCCTGCTTGAGAAAAGCCATCACTGCTGATGTGACACTTCCCATTAAATTTTGGGGATGCATACACAAAGTGCCTGGCTGGAGTCCCTAACTCTACAGCATCTGGGAATGACACATTACATTTCCTGAGGCTCCAAACCCCAAGTTTTATTCCTAGATGCCAGATTAGGCCTAGGGGAGGTTGTGTTACCTATTATGTCTGGCCCTGCAGTGCTGTGAAACACATTACCCAAGCCATAAATTTATACTCTTACCTCTGACACAAACTTTGTTGTGGCATCACTTAAGGTTTTCAACATTGGCGTTGCTTCAGCATAAAATAAAGACATTCTGTTTGCCAACTCATTATTTACTTCATTTTCTCCCTCTGCCTAAAAAACAGAAGAAAGGGTTTAGTTGTTCTGTACATGGAGAAGAGAGGGGGTAGCAGAATTAATTTCATCTTATCCAAGGGTTACCTACTGGGACATTGTTAATCCTCATACGGCTCAGAGTTCTTCTATAGTAGCTGAAGTCATTCTGTATAGCAGGATTTGTCATCTATGTGGATATGGAAGCAAGAGAGTTGTGACAAATTCAAGGAAAGTAAGGACAAGTTTTCATAAAATGTTATACACCCAACAAGAATATATTCAACTTCCTGAAGTGAAGCAAAAAGGCCTGTGATATGTTTGGAACTTGTAAGCACAACATAAAGCTTTTTGGTGTCTCAGAATCAGAACAAGCTCTAACAGGAATGAGAAAAGGAACAATCTCCTAAATACAAGTTGGAAATTAGTAGGTTGAAAAAATTGCTTTGCTAATTTGACTCCAAGGATCAGACCAGCAAATTAATTACCGTTTCAGCTTAGTTCTTTGCATATAGCAAGAAAATAGCTGGACTATGGCTGCACACAAGCTAAAAGCAACAGCATTATCTCAAGAGATATGCCAAATTTGGGTGAAAAAACATGATTAATGTGAACTGAAACACAAGTGCCTAAAGCTAATATGATATTTCATCTGCTTTCCAGTTTGATCTTACTCTAGGTCACAAGAGCAAGCCAAGCATATTGGATATTTGAGTATCCGCTGCACATTCTATTCCAGAACAGAACACAACCCAGACTGCTTCAGCAAACACACTTGGCTTCTTTTTCTAGCCCTTCTGATCACAAGCTCTTACCTTGAGCTCATCAAATCGGAGTGTGAAGTGAAGAATTTCTGCAAACTGCTTAGCAAGAGCCTGCTCTCGCTCCAGGTGCTGCGTGGGGGAGTACGGAGTGCTGGTCAGGGCGCCCAGCAGGCCCCGCAGCCCGGCCTCTGCAACACAGGACAGGGGATTGAACACACACCTGCACTGCCCCTTGCACCAGCACCGCCTGGGACCCTGCATGCTACACTTAAAATACATAGCTGCCAAAATACATGGTGGTTAATAATAAACGGACTCCATGAATTGCTCAGCTATGTGTCAACTGCTGTCATATTTACGTACAAATTGCTGTACAGACCAGGTCACATCAATGCTGACAGCCACAAAAAAAAACCTCTTGAGAAGTTCTGCTCAAGCTTTGTCTGCAACATTTGTGTAGAACATATTTCAATAACTTGTGTTAGCAGACTTCAGCCTCTAGGAGAACACAGAATTCAAGAGGCACATAGCTGTAAGTAAAAGTCATACATTATTTAAGATAAATTTATAATCTGTGACAGTGGTCGCAAGGGTTGCAGGTGAAGAGAGACAAGAATGTTGACTTCATGTTGATTTATTATCTTATGATATATATATTACATGATAACTATACTAGAAAGAAATAGAAGGAAAAGTTCTCATAAGGCTAGCTAAGCTAAGAATAGAAAAGAATGAACAACAAGATCTGTGTCCCAGCAGAGAGCAAGAGCAGCTCTGCCGTGAGTGGTCAGTAAATCTAAACATCCACAGGAGACCAATCACAGATGCACCTGTTGCATTCCACAGCAGCAGATAACCATTGTTTACATTTTGTTGCTGAGGCCACAGCTTCTCAGAAGGGAGAAAAATCCCAAGAAAGGATTTTTCACAAAAGATGTCTGTGACAATAATCCATCAGCACTGACAGCCACAAAAAAAAAAACTTCTTGAAAATTTCTACTCAAGCTTTGTCTGCAACATTTGTGTAGAACATATTTCAATAACCTGTGTTAGCAGACTTCAGTGTCTAGGAGAACACAGAATTCAAGAGGCACATAGCTGTAAGCAGAAGTCACGACTTAAGATAAATTTATAATCCAGCTTCCTGTTCATCTTGAGAAAAACACCTCACCCATTTTAAAAAGCAGAACTTGCCTGCAACAAGTTTCTGTGTTTTAAACACATTTTATACAAGCTATGTTAATAAATTTGATTAAAAGTGAGATAACAACAGAAAGCTGGTAAAAAAACAAGTCTCAGGTTTTATCAGCATAGCCATCACATCAGTGAGTTTCAGAAGAGGCATGAAGCACCATCTCAAGTACTGCATTTGTATGAACAAGATCAGGCACTTCCACATAGCAAATTATTTCTGGTGTTTAGGGAGGAATAATACAGTCTCTTTTAATTACTCTTGGTATCAGAAACACTGACAGCATTAATTCCTGATTATTTAGTTTACTAATTTCCAGACAATCAGCTGGTTACTGCCTTCCTGAGTTACTAAAGGAGTAGAGGAAGAGCAGCAAGGATGATCCCATTCTCTCTCCCCTCTCAGATATCCACTGAAGCAAGATTGCTGTCATCCAACGTATGGAGGAATCTGTGCAATATGAGCTCATTTCCACAAAGGAGTTGATCTAGATGTGATCACATCTGAATATGCCAAATATACGCATAAATTAAGAGAAAAAAACCCTCAAGTTAACACCTTTCCACTTACCTAGTCTTTGAGAAAATTCATAGAATTTCTTTAGTTTGCCTACTAGTGGAACAACTGCACCCCATGCCTTCTCTTGCAGCTTCTCATCATTTGGATGCTGTATTGCCTTAAATTGGAAAAAGAGAGGAGAAAAAGATGCTTGGATTGGGAATAACTGATGCACTGCTGACAAAACAACCCCCAACAACAAAACACAAAAAACCAAAACACCTATGCAAGACAATTGTTTGAAGAGCTAATAATTAAATATCTACCTACTAAGAAGTTCTCAGTTGAGAGACAAGCATGTACTAACCCATGTCTGTTCCAAAAAGGTCTAAAAATTTGTGTTGAAAGTAAGCATCCTGAACAGGAAAACAACTTGGAGAGAGTATAAAGAAATGGTTAAAAATCAAATTACTCAGATAAGACAATTTACATAACCAGATCTAGTTAATTAAAATTAACAACTTTACTGTGCTTACTCCAAGCAAAAAAAAAAAAATTAGCGATCAAAGCCTCATCTTAATGTTGATATCTATCACTAATTCCCAAATTTGCAAAGAAAAAAATTACTGTGAAATTCAGGCTAGCTATTACAGCAGGAACATTTAAGAATAATCAACAACATAAAGCACCACCAGTACAAAGCATATACCACAGTTTTGAAGGATATATTTACAGACTTTGTCTTTACAGTAAACTTCCCAGACATTTAATACCTTAAATTCAACCTCTCCAGTTAGCAACTGAAAATATACTAAGAAAACAGAAATAAAGATGTTCATAACTCTCCTGCAGCACTTTCACTGTCAGGTTCTTGATTTCAAGAACTGTTTCAGTCAACCATGGCCTGTGGCTTGCAGCACACTCCTCTCAGGTCCTAGAAAGTTTCCTTCCTGCCATGTCTACCTCCTCTCAGAGGAGTATCTCTCATTTCTCCATGGCATCTGCACACACACATTCCTGCCTGATCCTACAGCCTGTCTCTGAACATGGATAGTAAACTATCTCCCCTCCTAAGGGGTTTGTGTGATACAGTCATCCCTCTTAAACCTACCTTATCAATTCCATGGAGAGAAAAACTCTCAAAGGTGAATGGCTTTGAGTATCTCAAATTGCTATGGAGTAAATAGTAATCTAATACTCCTACCTAATACTATTTCTTAAAGATATGTTACAGTGAGTAACTCCTACCTTCATGAGCAAAGCCCCCATTGCTGTATGTGAGGAAGACAATAAAGGGGGTTGGGAGAATATTTATTCCACCCTTTGTTAAACAAAGAAACATTTGAATGACATTCTGTACAGGAACTTTGTTTCTGTTCCAAATATCTACTTTAGTAAATAAAAGCCAATTAAAAGGGAGTGAAAATGAGATGCCTTTTGTGTTAGGATTACCAAACCAGGCTTCCCCAGTTACCATACAAGAGGATGTCAACACTATTCAGTTTTGCACTGTAGTCACATCACACTCTTTCCAAATTCACTATTAACTCAAGAAGAGATTATGTTGGAACACAAAGAAAAATCAATATTCCTAATACCCCAAAAACTCTGAGAAGCATCATTTGCTATTACATGTGTGGATTAATATGACTGAAACAAGCAACATCTGTTTTGCTGTTAAAAAGAAACATTCCAGAGCAGAAATTCAAGACAGTGATTTTAAAGGACAACATGCTCTGCCAAAACAGCTCCTGCAAGCAAAGTTAAACCCCAGCAGTATTTGGTTAGGATCAGACAATGAACAACCACAGGCTGTGCACAATTGAAACGCTCTAGCTCACCTCTCGTATTTCATGGCCAGCTCCTCTATATGACTGCAAGTCTTCCAGTATTCCTTCTGCATCCTTTAACACTACATTCACCTGATTATAAATTTCCTTTTCAGATTCTGTAGGTTGGGCATCTAAACAGCAGAACATATTAAATGTATATATATTTATTTTTAACAACAACACGGAATTCAACAGGCACACCATCACCTATGGGACAAATTCTTCATGCAGCAACTCATCAAGAATTTTCATTCTCTGAAGAGCTACTACAATGTATGAGGAACTCCAAGAGACTAATTGTATTCATTTTAGTAGTCTCAATTCTTTTACCATCCCAAAAATTCACCTGGATTTTATCTTCTTGATTTATTGAAAACTGAGTAAGGAGAAGAAATCCTGATGAGTTGTCTTTATGACTATCATATAATCTCACCTTGGGGTGCAGCAGAGGCTCACTGGAAGAAACTTAGGTAAGCACTCAAAAGACACTCTCACTGCAGATAGCACAGGAGGTGTCCATGTTTTATTATAATCTAGAAACACTGCATCAGATTATTTTCCATCTTGTCTTACTCATCTTTAACTGCTTGGGAAAGGAGTCATATATTTTACTTCTAAAAATATTTAATTCTCAAAACATTCTTCACTGCACTCATCACACAATCAGAGTGGAGAACAAAAAGATCTAGTGTGAGCCTGTGAAGGCCTTTTTTCTTTTGTTCCCTGTCTTTAAAGGTATAAGCTGTCTCCCATTTTCTTCTAATCAACTAAGGGCTTCCCAAAAATATATTGGGTCATAATTTCAAGAAGCTACATGCACATTTTTAAAGAAATGTGATTTGGTAATAAGTATGTTTTGAGAAGAATCAACAAAAGGTTTTAACCTTTAAAAACAATCACCTAGGGCAAGTATCTCAGACATGGTTTACCTGAACCAATTTTTTTCTTTTAGAATGCTGATGAAAGCTATAAGGTTAGTTCCTTTTAGACTCATATTTTTAAAAAAATCAAAGAAACTGTTAGTTACTAAAGCTCTTGTAAAAAAAACCCACTTCTCTGTTAACATGGGCAAAATATGTTATGGAATAAATATCATTGTATTTTAGTCCATTATTTCCAATGCCAAAAATGAGGGTATTAACAATAGATTATTTTTTTATAGGGACAGACAGAAACTATCTAAGGACAATATATCCTCATGACTTTGTGCATTTTGAAGAGTCTGGAAAATGTCTTTTTAGACGTGCTTTTTCCATGATCCATATGTACAACTTCCCATGGAAGTTAGGTACATCTTTACATTTGAAATAAAACTTCCACAGTATCTTAGTGTTACACACTAGAAAAACACAAGAGAAAACAATGTTTGTATAAGGAGAAAATAAATTTCATATACATTGCCTGTCTGGATTTTGCTGTAATTTTTGCATAATACCTCTTATTTTTATAGTTTAATGCATAAAGAGTGGGCATTATTAGCAAATATGCCTATATATAGACCTTGCAACAGTTTAACTGGTATTTTGAGAAACATCAAGAATTAGCACAGGTTAAAGAACCTGATCATTCTTTTTAAAATAAATAAATAAATAAAAGAGCACCACATTGATTAGGCATCGAGTAAAAGTGGCCAGTGCTTTTCAGATCATCACAAAGGTCACATAATTTTGAAAGCTGCTGAAGACTGCTGTAAGAAATGAAGACAAAAAATGAGGGAAAAGAGCAGACAGGGAAGCACACCAGCTGACTGGCAGCAGTTCATGCACGAACATGAAATGTTACAGTGAAATACAGACTGAGACGTGAAGCTCTGTAGTGTTCCAGATTGTGCTGTTAAATAATGCAATCAAGACTTGTCACTTGGATTGTCTCACACTGAGAACATCTCCTGCCTGTTTAATTTTTCATGCCATTTTTTTTCTTTACCCTGTGTAGTAAGGAGAGTTCATTTTTCAATACTGGGAGGGGCAGAGCAGAATGGCCCAAAAGAATTCCTGCTCCTCATTTCAAAATCCACCACCAAGCAGAACAGCTGCAGTACCATGACCCTCCATGTTTAGAAATTAAAATAATCTCCCAAATACAAATTTAGTGGTCTTCACTGGACAGGTGGCTAGGCAAATCAATACCATCATCACCTCTCTAAGTGTAGGATGTAAACACTCAACCACCGTGTTTCATTTCCTTAAAATGTTCCAGGAAACTTAAACCAATGGTTGATATTTCATTTGTTGGGGTGGTGGGGATTTTTATTTGTTTGTTTCGACTATTACAAACTTCTAGACATCAATCTATTTGAAAATCAAGTAGGTACAGAGTTATTTCTTTTGGTATCTATTTCATTTTTGGTCAACCTATTCCTCTCCAATAAAAAACATCTGTAAACCCGATTTGTCCCAACTCATTTCCTCTGCCATCTCTAAAAGAGAGGTCAAACTTAAAAAGCAAATTTAAATGATTTTATAATCCCTTCACAAACCATTTAAGATGTTATTAGAATAGGGTTAAAATGCATGATATAAAAGATCTTCAGGGCCTAATGCTGGCTGACCCAGAGCGAAATTGGTTTATTTGCTTCCCAGTGCTGGTCAGGGCATTGTATTCTGAAAGCCCATCAGACGGAAGAAAGAGGGAGAGGTCTCTCTTCCTAAACACTGTCACCATCTTGAAAATATGGAGGCAGCATTCCGATCCTATGGGAACAGCATCCCTCAGTGTGTACCTGAGGGCTCAGGCTACAGGACCTTCACCTGGGAATCACTAATTGTGGAACTCCTCTTCCCAAGGTGGAGTGCACAGAGCAGGAGAGGGAGTTGTACTTCTGGAGTTACTCTTGGCTGCTAAGAAAAAGCAGCCAGCAGTGCAGGCATCCAAACAGAAGGATGGAGATACACAATTTCATGGATTTCCCTTCTCCCCTGACCATTTAAGTTCCTGCTACAAGGTTACAACAAGGCTGTGCCTTTATCAGAAATGCCTTCCATACAAAGAACAAACCCAGCAAGCACAACACAGCTTGCCCAGATGTTCTGAGGTTTGAAACTGTGGTCACAGCAGCTGAGCCCTGGTTATTCAGGGCAACTTTACTATTTTCAATGCAATAGTAAGAAAAGACTGAGGTTCTGCAAGTAAGTGGGAGTTCATCTTTAAATAAATTTGTGTTTAATCAGAATGTTACTGCACTAGATGCAATATACACTTAGAGTTCAGAATGCTCACACAGTAAGAGACAGTAGAGGAGACTTGAAACAATATACAAACGTTGTTATGTGAACTAAATACTACAGAAGTGAGACAACATATTGCATGCGGGGAACACACACATTTAGTGACTATTAAAATAATATTTGGCTAGCCTACAGAACTAGTAGGGAGAGAAATTTGGGGTTAAAAGTTTACACTGCACAGCAAACTATTTAAGCTGAGATTTTTCCCAGGGAAGAACACATCAAGTCATCTGAAACTGTCTGGGACAAAACTCACAAACAAGGGGAAAAAAATGCCAGACTGCTGGAGATGAAATAATTTATTCATCTCTGTTGGCATTACTATGGAGAATGCTGTCTCTGTGGCTCCTCTGAAACCTGGCCAAGTCTTCTGGAGATAATGCAGGATACTGTCAGCGCTAGCTTGAGATCACCACCTCATAGTACACTGTATTTTAGCTACTATTCCAATCAGTAAATTTGGAAAAGATTTGCAACTGTGTCAGTAAAGACACCAATGTAAAAGTTGAGCTGTAAGTTTCCCACATTTGAGGTGGCTGTTTTATGTAAACAAAATTGACCTGTGCACTTTGCTTGTGTTCTGATGGTATTGCACAGACTTTAAAAGAATACTCAGGAGAACTATTTCTATCAAACAAGTAAGGTGAATGGCCAAAGAAAGCACAAGCTTAACCAGTGCAGAGGCAAGGAAAAGCCTACAGCTCACCGTATTTTTAACATGGATTCTGATAGTCAGTCACACCAATCACTGGCATCTAGCACCAAGATAAACATCTGGGGGAATAATAATGGTTAGAAGTCTAAAATCTGAAGTTTCTAGCACTACAAAGCTTCATGAACGCTAGGTTTTAGTTCTTTAAGGTACTATGTAAGAAACATTGGAGCCTGCTCACATACATGGATTTAAGAACAAAAGACTTCAAACTGCCTATTATTGAGTCAGGCATAACACAGAATTGGCAAATTTGTTTTTAATACAGAGCTTACTTGTCCTTCCACACAAAACCACAACATTAAGTATCACAAGATTAAGTGCCAAGTCTTGAAGAAAGATCTTGGCTGTGTCAAAGCCAAGATCCTGTCAAGGCAAGCTATCTGAAACAGAGGAGAAAGAAGCATGTATACACAGTATAGCAGCAGAAACAAATGCAGAACAGGGTCCAAAATGAACAAAGAACAGTCTAACAATTCAGCCATAATATAAGTCACCTAATTTGACTGCATATGAAAGCATTTCATGTCAGCAACCTGCTTACTCTCATGCCAAATCCTGTTCATGCTCAAAACATGCATTTTAAAACAAAATTGATGGCCAAAAAAATCTGTATTTAAAAAGAAAAAAAGGAGCATTTTTATTGCAATTTAGGAACCATGCCTCTTCTATCCAGCTAATGTGCATTTACTTTACTCCAATTAAATTTTAAATATTTGCAGATTAAGCTGGAGCTTTACAACTCCAATGGCCTCATACATGAGTTCTCCCACCTCACTAGATTCCACCTAATGTGATGATACACAAGAATTGGTCTTAGATTAATTTTGCTTTCTGATTTTTGAACACAGGCCTTGATAATCTTCCCTTTATGAATAATTTGTATGGCTAGCATCTTCCAATAACAATATATTCAGAAGAGACAAGTAATAAAAATCAACACAACAGGGTAAGAGCTTAGAGAAGTTGTAACTTTAAATGTCATTGAAGCAAAACCATATTTCTTCAAGCATTTACTTTCATGTTATAACTAATATTAACAACTGCTACTGATTAATCAAACAACTGAAAAACAATTCAGGGGAAAAAGATTTAATGCACCTCAAATTATCCATATCATAATACTTCATCAGTATTTTTTATTACACTATTCCATTGTATTCTATTATATGGTCAAAATGTACTTGAACATTAATCTTCTTATTTGATGCTTGCTGATGTACAGCTGGCTAAAGAAACAGCACATCCCAAAAGAAAGTAATTAAACATGCATAGCAGAAGCCAGCAACACTTACCTGCCATTCTTAGGCTACACTGTATCATGCAACAAAAACCAGAAGCAGAAATACTGACATATGTGAACCTTCTAGAACACCTGGCATTGATCACACAAGCAACATGTCTCTTCTTTTCAAAATCAATTTAATCTCTGTACATGTTGAGACTCCCTTTTAAGAAGGCATGAGGTTAAATTTCAGTGCCAGATCCAGTAAGGTTCACATATAACCTTTAACATGATGATGCTGGAGCTATGAATAGCTGTTGTGAGCCAGTCTGTCTATGCAGCATTATTAATTCACATTGGAAGTGATGAGAATCAGGTTTCATTTTCAGTTCTTCCTTTAAGGAGCATGGGACAAAACTCACAAATCTGAGTAAGTCAGTTGCAACTTCAGTAAGTCTTCAAATAATTACAACTATTCTTAACATTTTGATAAAAAGTAGGAAGAATTTTGGTTTAAAAAAGAAGAACCAAATTTCAACAGTCAAATGCAATTTGAAAGCCCTTTCAGAAATAAAGATTTTACATTTTAGGACCTGAGGATATTTTAGAACAGGTTACTGCTTTCTACCAAAGTTCGCTGAACAATTATCCATAGCTCAGGCATGCAAAGCAGTTAGAAGGATGGCAAAATGAAAACATACATTTAGTACAAGACAAATGCAGTCTACTGCAGGCAAAGAGTAATAGATATATAAAATCATCTTCTCACTTTCAAAATCAAGGAAAAAATTTGGCCCCTGCTCAAGGTCTGTGCATGTCAAAACTTTTAGAAGGTTCCCCATGTTAAGGTACCTGCCAAGACAAGAATGAGAGAAAAGAAAATTTTCTTTTTATAAGGAAGAACAGCCCAAATGCAGTTGATTGAAGCAGTGGGAAAGAAGACCGAGAGCTCCATCAGGTACGAACCCGTCCTTCAGGCTGGGTGCAGGGACATCCCCACCTCGAGGTGGCACAGCTGGGCACCCCAGCAGTGCAGCTTTCCTGGAAGGAGTGACCGTGTCACCAACATCCTCACAGCTGCCCCTTTGGGAAAGGGGCAGAATCCAACCAAAACCTTTGCCAGGGACTGTTCTGTCCCAGTACACCCTAGCACCAGTGTCCTGAGCAGGAGTACTGCCTTGAGGGCCAAGTACCAGATTGGAAAGCATTAGCCATGCTAGATTTTAACCTGATGGGACAGCAGAAGGAAAAGAGCTTTAATTTTGTCAGCCCTTATAATTGTGTCAGAAGGTCATCACAGAAAACACATCATGATACATCATTTCAGTGTGCAGAAAATGCTAACAGAGAAATGCCACAGACCTTTTACACAAGGTGCTTAAAACATTTGTGAAACTCAGACAGTTTCACTTTAGACTTTTGGATGTAAAAAAAACCACATTAACTGCACGAGGAATGACCCAAGCAGGACCAGGAATGATTCAGCACTCACTCTTGTGTATGAGAGGATTACAGTGAACAACTGCTCAGCACAGATTACTATGGCATACTGACAGAATTTCTCATTTCATGATTACTTGATTTGCAGGCAGATGGATGGACATCACTGACCACAGAGACCTGAAATGACTAAGCGCATGGAAAGAAAACTGACACAGCAGCATGATGGTGGCTTGGCTACTACTGGAGAGGGGGAAAAAGGGAAAAAAAAAAGAAAAAAACAACCACAAAAACTACATGCAAGTCTTTCCAATTCCAACTTGGCAATTGAGTCCCCTGGCCTTCACTGCAGCAGGTATAAGCAACCCTACTGTTACCATTTGAAATGCACCAGCTCTGAAGGGCTGAGAGACTTACTTTCAAAATCCAAGAAAAAATGTGCTGCATTGTGGTCTATGTCCCTGGTTAGCACCTTAATGAGATTACCCATGCCAGCAAACCTAAAAATAAAAATGGCAAAATAATTTAGTTCCAATAACCATTTCCTATTTTAAGTACACGCCTGGGTCTCACTGGATCAGGGCTCCCATTGTGTTTTGCACTCTGGATTCACTTCTGGTGGGGAGCAGAACCTGTGCACTGTACAGTGCATTTCCATGCCCCTTCTTCCTAGAGAGCAGTGATTGTTGAAAAACTGGAAAAGTTATAATCTTTGAGGAAAATAAAGATGTGAATTACTGGCTCTTTTTCATCACTGTTTAATACATATAAAGAACATGTGACCTACGATGACTGAGAAATTGTTTTAAATTGTTTTGCATAACTGCAGCACTCAGTGCCAGACAAAACCATTATTGTTGAGGACAAAAGGAACCTCAAGTGGAACTGGTGTCATCATAACACTTTTTTACTACCTCACTGTAATCCAAAACAGATTTTGGAAAGCCTCTCAGTAGTAGTCATCTGTGGCCAATGAACAGTTTTCCCATTAAATCACAGAGTTACAAGCAAAACAAAAACTAGACTTTCCAAAACCAGGAGAAAAATCAAGTTGCAGCAGTTCTTCTTATGTTTGCTGTCACATCCCAGCTAAAAGAAATGAAAAGTGGAAGAAAAATAAAATATTTGTTAGGTTTCTTGAAATCAGATAAACTATCAAAACAGTTTCAAATGTTACCACAAGTTTCAGAAATCAATACCTGCAGTAGGAGTATGAAAACTGCATTTCATAACAAAGCTGCCTTTTCATTAACCTTCCCATGTTTTACAGAGGCTGAAAATATACCTACTAACCATTGCTCTGAAATGCCAAGAACTCACTAGAGTGCTGCTGCAAGACAATCAAGACACACCCAAAAATCTCATCTCAAATTATTTAAGAATAAACCATGAACAATCTGGCATTTGAATTCAAGCACAAAAAATATTTTAAAAAAATCAGTTTTCAAATTAGTCTAACTATAACAACAAACAAGTTTATTCTCTATTTTTTCCTGATTTTTACTTTTACTGAAGAATCATGTTCACCTGGAGGTAAGATATCATGACACCAAGAATCATTACTTTATTAGGAGTCCAAGGAAACCAAAACAACATGAACTCTAAACAAATTGTTTGGCAAAACGCATTTTCGGAACCTGTGTTGACAGATTTCTTGGTCAAACTTAGAAAAGCATACGATTTTTTTGTGGGATCTGCAAGATTCAGCAATCAAACAAAGCTTGAGAAGGAAGGGGCAATTAATACAAAACTGCTGAAAATAACCCAAGTCTTTGCTCTAACAACTTCTACACAATGACCAAATGACTGTTTAGAATCCAGACTTTTAGCACTGTGACCCACAGGGGACTCTGCACACAGCAGTCACCAGGTGTGTGCTGGCTTTTTCACATGCTCAACCTTCTCCTTGAAACTCAAGGAAATGAAGGACCTGCTTCCTAATAACTTGAACTTATTTCCTAGAAATTCAGATCCGACTTCTCAGCCTGTGAGAAGCACCTATTAAGTCAAGGAATTTTTAAATTAAGGTGTCCAGCTGAGAGACTCTTCTTAAAAATTAATCCATTAAAACATGGATCTTCAAAGAGGCAGCTTCTCCAGGACTTCCTATCCCATAGCATGGCAAACTCTCAAAACTACAAGTGCACCAGTGCTGTGTAAACACGCAGCAGTAGAAAGCAGAGAAATTACTTTTCCATATCTCGCAGCGTGTTCTGTAACACAGGACTGAATAAGCCACTTTGTATTTCAGAGTTTTCCAGATTATGAATGTTCTTCTTGTTGAGGAGCAGACAGAGGCACCCTTAAACAAATATTCTCAACAGGGCCAATAAAAAATCAGAAGTAGAAGCTGAATAACAGTGACGCAGTTTACAGATTCAGGTCTAAAAACCAAACCTCAATCTCAGAACAGCATACAACATATTTCAATTCCAACATTAACATCAAGCAGCAAACACATGGCAGTGAATAGTATAATGGCCTAAAGAGAACTCCTATACCTGCAATTACTGTTGTGCTTCAGCTGCACCATCCCCTCCCCCAACAAAATATTCTCCATATCTCAAAAAAAATGCCTCTGTGTAGGTTTTACCTTTTTTTTTATATTAACCAGACTCCAAAGAGTTTACAGGCTCACGCACGTGGCTTAAATATTGGATAACATTACTTGTGAAGGTCAGAGCAGGGTCATGCTCATAGGGTTGAAATATTTTGAAGTTCACAGAAGAGCAGGAGGCACAGCAGAACAGATTGTGTCACTGAGCACCTACCACCTCCTAACATGAGTAGGGAGTTGGGGACTCGGTTTTGCAATACAAATACCTTCATCCCTCAGGAAGGTTTGCCAGAAAGAATATTTGTTTTCTTTTCCTGGAGTTAAGTTTAACAAATAGAGAAGCATAATAAAAGTCTTGGCACTACAATGGAAGAGCCAATGTGATATTCAAGCAGAAGATGCAACTGATCTAAAGGTAACAGCTCAGTAAAGAGCCTCAGTGAAGAGTAAAGGAGAGAAACTGATGATAATAGATTAATTCAACCATGACAGCAGCAAGATAACAAGATGTGCTATAGGAATGTATTTCAATTTACATCAACACAAAGCTGCTTGAACAGCTTTTCATAATGAAGTTCCCAACAAACTTCTCCCTTTGTGTGTTCACTGTACTGAAAAAAATCGTGATAAATTTTAGTCACATCAGAGTTCTGCACGCAAGATGTGCAATCACATTTCCTTTCTTAGTAGCAAAACAGTCACTGTATATTCATACAGATTTTATGGAGTGCATGGAAATCTAGCTGAAACTGGACAAACCCAGTACTTCTGAAACTTGAATCAAGATGCACTGCAACATTTACTCCAGGATCTCAAGCATCCTTAAAACTGAAAAACCTCCTGTGTTTTAAGAACTGTAAAAACAACCATTTCTCCCAGCTGCAATCCAAAAAGACTTTAAGCTATGAAGAGCTTGGAAACTCAATTTAGATAGATATTGAGAAGATGTAATTTCTCAAGCACTTTTTTAGAGGATGCTTTCTCTCAGCTCAGCATTGCAGGTAATGAATCCAAGAGCCAAAAGGTCAGACTCTACTCTTCTGGCAAAGCTAAGCATGCTCTTCCTGAGCTCTGAAATGACCTTTTAGAAACAAGGCCATGGTGCCCTCTGTGGAACTTCCCAGATTTGTGGAAGCAGCTGCAGGTCAATATGCCACAGCTAAGGTTAGATAGCCCTTCACTTTTGTACATTTTCCTTCAGAAGGCAAGGCGGGCAGCAGGCAGAGCTGACCTGTTGTACTCTGAGGGAACACTGCAGAGAGGAAAATTAAATTTGATCTTTCTGAGAAGGTGCTGTGAAAGCAGAATACCTGGCCCAATCTAGAGTAAAGCAAGCTAGCCCAGAGATACATCAGGTTCCTGATAGATATAAAAAAGATTTACTAGAGACTCATGTTTTGTTCAAGATGGCCTATAACTTGCAATTTTTCTGGGCCCAAAACACCTGAAAGAACTGAACACATGAAAGATTAGAGTGCTACTGGATCTAATACTAAAGATGATGACAATTTACACATAGCATGAGAAGCAGTCTACAAATCCAACTAATGAACATTTAGCTTCAGTGACCTCTTCTGCTATGGGATACCCTGTAAAAGCATCACCAGCAGGAAGATTTCGGTAGTTCTGAGAATTACCTTGGTAATTAACCACATAGGGGCATGCCTAGCCAGTATTAATTTACCAAGCTCTCTTACAGTTTCCTTGCAAGTTCACAACTTCATCTGAGTAAGTAAAATTACTAGTTTAGAAAGTCAGATGTGGTTCCAGTTAGGTAGCCCTGACACTGAGCTTCCATTGACTAGTGAAGAACATCTCCCAGCACTTACTGCACCTTTCTTGAGCACATCACCACATCAATCAGCTGCAGTTGAAGAAAGACTTAAGCCTGTATGAATACTAAAGCCATCAGCAAGCAGAACTGCTGATTTTGATATCCTGTAGCTGGGGTTTGTTTTGGAACTGAATAGCTGATTTAGAGCACTGACTGCAGGTGACCTTTGTGGGTGCTAAATCACCTTTTCACCCACAGCTCTTCCAGCACAAATGGAGAAAGATGCACACTGAAGCTGTAATCCTTACCAAGAAGAATTCTGCATATTGCAATCACTAACATCAAAATATTCACATGTCCAGCCTAAAGTACACTTTAGGTCACTACCTATTTGTTCTTCCACATCTTCAGAGCATCAACCTCTATCCAATTTTATTTGGTATTCTCATTCAGAATACAGCACACTTCAAAACATGGAAACCAATTTCTCTCCCAGAGGTATTACTGATTTTAAAAATTTATAGTGCAGTGTCCAGAGGCAACTCATTAGGTAAACTAACAGCCTAAGACTCAGTAAAAGCACACATTTAAGCACTGAAGTTTTCTCCTGCCACAAAAGCAACATCACGAGATCAGAGCAGAACAAAACCACTAGTTTCTGTCCAAAAACTGACTGTCCCTGTGAGACTGCCCAGAATCCCTGCTGGCATGCTCTGCACTCCAGCACAACACTGGAGCCACGTGGAGCAGGTTATGGGAAATGGGAGCACAAGCCAGGAACATGGCTCAAACTTGACCTACTTGCAGAGGAAGACATACGGAATGCCACGTTGGATTAGGGTGATCTGGCCCACTGCAGCCTTATGGGGTTGGATGATGCTGCGTGCAGAGCCCTGATCAGACAAGCGGAAAGCAAAGGCATATTTTCAAAACAAGCCTTGCACGCATGCCCTTCCTGTGGAAAACATCCCCAACACATCTCAGTGCCCCCCAGCCCCCAGGCTAAGCCCAGGGGAAATGTAATAGAAATACTCAATGCAAGTAAATTCATCTGAGCACCAAAGAAATTTCCCCTCTCACACCTGGAAGAAAAATTGTATTAACAAAGATGTTGCTTGCAACTGGTGAGTAGCTGGAGAACTTACTCTCATTACAGGTGAAACACTGCC